CCCCCTATCAGCTTGCTGGTAACGGAAATATGTCTTATGTATCGGGCCTTGCCGTCTAATAAATGATTAGAATGAAATATCTATGGATACTGCAGAGAGATCCGAGTTACCAAGAGGAGAGTGTTGCGTAGCTCGGCAAGAGCGAGGAGAGGAATAAAAAAATAAATCAAGTAGAAGAGACTGTTGTTCTATTTTGTATGGGAAACGAGTAGGGAATCTATGATTTGTGTAAGGGTTTGGGCAGTGGAAAAAAATAATGTCTGAATACGAGCAACATCAGTATCATTAGAATGTTTAAAGCTTATATAATCATATAAATATATACCCATCTGCATGCGTATTTGTGAGTGTATAAATATGTATGTCTAGACGTTCAGAAATTGAGAGCTGAATATTCCGACAGTGTGTAAATATGCATATTTGCTAATTCTTCTATGTTGAGTAAGCCAAATGACACCGCTGTCTGCCTGTCCGAGTTTCTCTATCTTTCTCTATCGATTTATCTATTTATACTCACGCCTACGCTCTCACTCTCTCACACACACACGCACACAAACACATACATAGATACATACAAAGACTATTGAAAGAGAGAGAGAGGAAGTAGAATCTTTCATCGCTATTTTCCCTTTCTCTGCCTTTCCCACAAACATACCTACATACACGCAGAGACACACACACACTGTCTCTCTCTTCATGTTTCTATCTATCTATCTATCTATCTATCTATCTATCTATCTATATATATATATATATATATATATATATATATATATATAATTTAAAGAAAGAACAGATCACTTTAAGGGTCCATTGTTATAATTTATTTCACTAGAAACTTTATTTTTCTCTGGATCTTCAGACTTCACTTTCAAGGGTGAAAAAATGAATTTAAAATTTACACTTTTGAAGGGTAGTATTAAGCTTATATAAGGTGACATAGAGGGTGGTGAGGGATAGTATGAGAGACATGGTCGAATTTAAAGAGGGAAGGGAGAGTTTTAACATTTATTTTTATTACAATACTTAATATTGAAGAGGAGGAGGTAAGGATCAGGCATTGAATTATTTAATCAATAATTTATTAATATCAAGGAATGATGGGTTATATGAAGAACGCCAATTCTTCGGTGTTCTCTCTCTCACAAAATTTGAGGACATGTTCCTCACACCAAAACAGGGACAATATCCATATAAACATGTATCCGCAAATCCATCGTTCTTGATTTATTAAGTTTAAAGTTTACAATAGATGTAGTTAAATGTACAATCCCCAAAAATTTTCACATATATCTGAGGTCGCTTCCTGACACCAGAACTAGGTAAAATGTCTATATAAACAAATGTACATGACAGAAAAATAAACTTAATCTACACGGCAACACAACTAAATATATTACTTCTAACAGTGATATTGAGCGCTTTCCAATAAGTGCCACCCATATATAATATATATAGGAATTTAATACACACACAAACATATGCTACTGTTCAAATGTTTGATGTCGGCCCCAGAATTAGCATGAGATTTTTTTGACAGAAGAGTGAAAAACAAAAATGAAAAAGAGGGCTTAGAGTCATTAAAAACAGAATACACACAATAATTAAACTGATACTCTGAATTTTTTTTACAACGAATGCCAAAAAAATTGTTCTGCAACAATAAACGGTAAAGGAGGATATCTTGACGAGACTAAAATTTAAGCATACTTCTGTCATTTAAAATAGAAAGCAAATACGTCTTGTGCCAATTTTAAAAATTTACCAGGGGTAGGGTCAAATATTTAAAGTGCAGTATATATATATATATATATATATATATATGAAAGGAAACTTCCTGACGTTATCCGACTGGTGGGGTCAATGTCAGTGCTTCAAAAGTGTCTGAAATCCATACCAGGAGTTGACCAAATCCTTGTAAGTGAAATTGTGTAAACGGAACCATGGGGGTCATCAATGCCTAAGCTCGTAAGAAGTCACAAGCATCATGGCCTTATTGAAATAGCTTTTCACGCTAGATAACATGCACTTCCCAGAAACTGAAACTAAGGTCTGCTCAGCATAGTAGCAGTATAGACCACAGGTGAGATCATTGAATGTTGAATAAACACAAATGCTCCCGAGCAAGCGTCTGCCATAGGGATTGATTAGATAGACTATTAGATGAGTATCTCGAATACGTGTGGCCAGCTGTGTATATATATATATATATATATATATATATATATATATATATATATATATATATATATATATGTTAACTAGACAATGACCACTATAAGGGTTAGAGGGTATGTAAATATAAGAGTGGAGACGGTGGTGACAGTCTGTTTCATGCTTGAACACATTATTCAAGTCATACGTTATATCTATCTATCTATCTATCTATCTATCTATCTATCTATCTCTCTCTCTCTCTCTATATATATATATATATATATATATATATATATATACATTTACAAATACATGGACAATCGCATTCATTTATATATATATATATATATATATATATATATATATATATATATATATATATATATACAGAGTGAGAAGAGAGAAAGAAGTGTAATGTTGCATGTAAAAAAAGAGCGTAAGTTAAAAAGAGTAAAATTTAAATTTACGTTTATCATCTGATATCTGTAAAGGTATATATGCAGAAATTATATATATATATAATGATCACGCGAACATTCTGCATTGGTTAAATAGCAGCTGATTTCTCTAGCTTAGGTTGACAGCTAGTCCAGGAGAGAGACAACTATGAATTCAAAACCTGATGAGAGTCATATATGCAGGAACCCCTCGATTAATGCGCATTCGAATAATGGGTAGTGATTTGTTTTTATATATATATATATATATATATATATATATATATATATATATATATATATATATATATATATATGCCCGTATATAATTGTTTCTCGATTAATGCGCTAAAATTCAATTAGTGCATACATAATACTCGATTAGTGCGGTAAAACTTTCTTTAGTTTAACCATAACAATTAAAAATTGATTTTTGTACAGTTACTGATGTAAAAATTAGCCGTACTAAAAGAGTCATTAATATATATATATATATATATATATATATATATATATATATATATATATATATATATATGCATAAACATTAATCCCCAACAACATATGAAGCGGGACTGATGAATTTTCATCCATGAAACTAAAATTTTATTCTTCATATTCTTTTACCATTTTTAATATACTCGACAAACCGTTTGTCACTGAGAAACTATTTGCTCCAGAATTTCGGCCTTGTGCCATATCTAAGCTACGCTAAGAAAATCATTGGTCACTACGTTGTGCTCTAATGTTTAGTAAACTTGTCTCGCTAGCTCAATAGTGATTTCCAGCTTCACTTGATGCCCCATATTTTCGGCCTTGTACCACATCTAAGCTTCGTTTAGATAATTCACTATAAATATGCGCGTGTGCATTTGTGTATATTTAGACAGTAATCTCTCTATATTACAAGTTTCATTAAAAATGATTGATACGTCACTTTTTTATTGCGTTTTTCTTGTGCGCGAACAAGAAACTTCTTTTTTGTTTGGTGAGCATAAACATTGTCCAAGTTATTGTTTGTTCCAAGTGCTTTCGGCTAATCTTTTATACATTGTTTAGGCATTACGGTTTTGCTATTTCATATGTGCTATTTTATATGTAATTCGCTCGGAATGAAATATTGTTTGTACAATTTTTAAACATACTAAGAAATCTCTATTTCGTACACTAGAAAAACGTCATAAAATATCTTCATTGGAATAACTAGGTAGTCATTTGTAATATGTATATATATATATATATATATATATATATATATATATATATATATATATATATATATATATATATATATATATATATATATATATATATATATATATATATATATGCCTGTATATATTGTTGATTCAGCAATATTGCATACGTTAAATAGCAATCTGGCAGGATAGACATTTCTCTGATACATTCATATGTAAGCATGTGTGCGCGTGTATGAATGCGTGAATATGAGTGTTTAGGTTTCATTATCTTTAAGGCGGCATCTTGCATTGAAGAACAAAGAGAAATTGGGCAGGCTCTATAAATCTAGCCGCTCTTCTCTGGCTTGTCAGTTGGAAATATTTCACATTTAACATGGGTCGTGATCACAAAACAGTTGGCTATTGCGGTAGGAAGCATTGCTCGTTTACTTGGTGAATATCAGTGGTTAGCAAAGAAGAACAATGAAAAAAGCCATCGCAGGGGAAGAAGATATTAATACAGACAGGAAAGAGACGAAGAAAAGTAACGAGATAATTGGTGAATGATGTAAAGAGGGTAGAATAGAATGCGTAAATTAAAGAAAGAAAGAAAGAAAGAGAGAAAGAAAGAAAGAAAAAAATTTAAAGTTAGAAAAGTGGAATCAAAATAATTGCATGAGAAGTGAGATAGAAAGAGAAACAGAAGGGACAAGAATGAAAGAAAAGAGAAGGAAAATGGACAGCAAGTTAATAAACGATAGATAAAAAGGAAATTTATATGAAAAGGGAGACTGACTGAGAAAAAGAGTAGATAACAAATAAAGAAAGAAACAAAGAGTAATGAATGAATGTAGAGGGTGAAAAACGTAGGAATAACGTATGTATATAAAATGGAAAGAAAATAATTAAATATATAAATATTAAGTAAGAAATATGATAAAAGGAAATAAATGCACATGAAACTAAAAAAAACACGTATGCAAAAACAAAGCAAAATTAATGAAAGAAAAGAAACGACAGGAATAAAGGAAAGATTTGCAAATAATCAAACAGTTGGTCATCAGTGAGAATATGAAGATAAAAAAACGAGGTAAAATAGTATAAGAGTAAAATAATCGAAAAGGAAATAAGAATAAAATAATGTAGGATACTAAGAAATAAAAAAAGTAAGTAAATAAGAAAGAATGAGAATGTTAAGACAAAAGATAATAAAAAATATAGAGAATCATAAAACTAAAGAGAATGATGGAAAAAAAAGGGAATGATAAAAAGAAAAAAGAAGATTAAAAAGAAAATGGATGTTAAATAGAAAGAGAATGATAAAAAGAATTGTAAAAAAAATAAGAGGATGGTAAATAGAAATAGAATGGTAAAAAGAAAATGATAAATAAAGGGAATGGTAAAAAGAAAGTGGATGGTAAAAAGAAAGTGGATGGTAAATAGAAAGAGAATGGTAAAAAGAAAATGATAAATAGAGGGAATGGTAAAAAGAAAGAGAATTGTAAAAAGAAAGTGGATGGTAAATAGAAAGAGAATGGCAAAAAGAAAATGATAAAAATAAAGGGAATGGTAAAAAGAAAGAGAATGATAAAAAGAAATTGGATGGTAAATAGGGAATGGTAAAAAGAAAGTGGATGGTAAATAGTAAGAGAATGGTAAAAAGAAAATGATAATTAAAGGGAATGGTAAAAAGAAAGAGAATGGTAAAAAGAAACTGGATAGTAAATAGAGAATGGTAAAAAGAAAGTGGATGGTAAATAGAAAGAGAATGGTAAAAAGAAAGAGAATGATAAAAAGATAGAGAATTATAAAAAGAATTGTAAAAAGAAAGTGGATGGTAAATAGAAAGAGAATGGTAAAAAGAAAATGATAAATAGAGGGAAGAAAGAGAAGAAAGAAAAAAAGAAAGCAGACATGATAAAAAATGAAAGATAAAATGCATATAAAGGAAATAAAAAGAAAAAAAAATGCAAAGACAACCAAAAAGTGGTAGAAACGAATAGAAATATATAGAGTTAGCTACTAACGGAAAAGAAATGTAATATGCCTAGATGGACGGAATTGCTGATGCCTGAAATAGAATGAAATATTTCCGAAGGCTGATCGAGTCAGCAAAGAAAAGATACCAGCAAATATTCAGGAAGTCTCCAATGTGAGATTGTTCAAATTGATAGTGCATTAAACCAACATTGTTTAGCTCTTAACTCTATATAGAAACTGGACCTTAAAAAGAATAACATTTCCAATGCGAATTTTCAAATCAAAAATCATGTAAAATCGTCTGTTATCGAACTTTGAACTCATAGCACAATCAAGTATTTAATCCTTTCGACAACGGAAGTCAAACACAGGCTATATTCCATTCTCAGTATTATTGTATTAACTCAAAAGCTTAGTACTGATTCTGTGGGTATGGCATATTCATTATGAAGAGATGAAGAAGTGAAAGAATAGAGAGATAAACTACTAAAAGAGTTCTAAACACCGGATAAATTATATATTAAACGAAGACCGAAGAATGTACCCACCGATAATTTTAAGTAAAGGAACGAAGAAAAAATATTCTGGAATCATTTACTTTTATTGTGTAATGCAGTAATACCTACCGCATTGTTGGTTAGCCGGCTACTAAACCAGTTACCTCACCTGGCTTTTCTGGGGCCAGCTAGACACACAGAAAGATTAAAAACAAAACCTGTCAAAGGGCAGAGGAAACTTCTTGTAGGGTGAACGGTGAGCTAGCATAGAGAGGTCGAGTAGGCGCCATACGTATCCAGTGCAGTGTTGGCAAAGCACCGCTGTACGTAAACATTTCTCTACTTTGTCTTCATTCAGAGGCTCTTGCGTATTGATGAATATTTAGGCCAAAAAATGAGCAAAATTGAGTATTCCTACCATATCATCGCAGGGTCTGCTCAATTGTCCGCCTTTGATAGGATTCAAAATTATTAATGTTGTCATGTGAGGGGAAGACTTATTCTCCACGACGTCTTACCCACAGATTCAACATTGCAAGATTATTGCTACTCTACCGAAAATTCATTGGTAAATCTTCAATTTAGAGACTCACTTTTTAACTTTTACAACCGAAACAAGCCATACTACTCACACGTATTTCCTCAGCGTTCCAAATTTAAGAAAAAAAATTCCATCAGGCAACATTTTCTCAAGAACCGCAACTTAGTTAAAAAGGTTTTCGAGCCAGTGCTTCTCTGAACTCCAAACTTAACTTTTTCAAGTAGTTGGTAAATCGTTATGTATCCTGTTTAACTTTATAAGTTTCAGCTCATTTACAAACATTTCATACGTCTTATTCATTATAACCTTTTTAACAACCTTCTATATTGAGCAGTTTTAAAGCATTTTATTGGGGGATCTTTAGTATGAAAAATGTGTAATTTTTTCAACTTAAACGATTTACAATTAGCAATGTCGATTAAACAGGGTATCACCAAAATTGACATAACTTTGTAGTTTAATAACTTAACAAACACTAGCTTAAATGTTAGGATAATGTGTAAAAACTAAGTTGAATATTTAATCTTTTTCTTTGTTTCAGGGTGAAGAATAACGTTCACTCAAATTGAAAAGGCATTTTGTGTGTTAGAATATGCTCGAACACAGTTCAACAAGATTGTGCTGTGGGCATTTTCGAGAGAATTCAAGAAAATGCCCTAACTGGAAAACAGATTCGGATATACTAGATAAAAATTCAACGAAGAAGGCTATCTATGCAGAACAAAGTGATCTGGAAGACCACCAGTATGGGAAGATATTGTCAGTCAGTTACGGAAACATTTGTGCGAAGCCCTTGAATGTCTATAAGAAAAGAATCTATGGAAATCCAGATTCCTCGTAAGATAGTTTGGCGTTTCGTAAGGAAACGCTTGGGAATGACAGCCTATAAGCTGCAATTCATTCAAGCGTTTAACAGATGACAGCGCAAGCAATTCTCTGTCGCTATGCAAGATAAACTTGAATATGAGGAGTTCGAAAAGCGCATTGTTTTCATTTTATACAAATGGCAAAGACAACAAACCTAATGTTCAAATTTGGAGGGAAGAAAATCTCCATGTTACGCAAGACATACTACAGCGTGTTTGGCAGGAGCTGGATTACCAAGTTGACTTATGTCTTCTCACAGGTGGTATGCATATTGAAATCGGTTATAAAATCTTCAGTCCTTTGAATCTGTTTGAATTTTGATTAATAAATCTTTTATTGTTCACCATCAAGCCTATTTAATTTTAGCTGTCTGCTACATGTATTTATTCACATATTCACATTCTAAATGATGTCAATTTTGTTGGGACATCCGGTATATTAATGTAGACCAGATAATTCAACATTTTTGACTGCACAACAGATTCTAGTTCAAAGAAAATGTAATGACATAAAGAGATTCTGGAATGTCTGTGACTGTGCTGGAATTATCTGGAATGTTAAGGTCACTATTTGCAAGACTTTTACGTGTATTATTAAATTTGTGAATAAAATCATTGACTCAACCATGTCAATTAAAAACAGAATTTTCCATTGTTGAAATCCGGGCCCTTTTTAAGTTCCTGATTGTATAGAAGAAAGCTCCAAAAAATCTGTGAGTCTTTGATGCAAACATTAGACGAAAGTGTCCGTCCTGTTGTAAAGAAGTGCCATGTCAAATTCCAGCTGAAAATTTCGTGGCCAAAATGTAGCAAGACCTGTGTGGCATTCAGTAGTTATTCAACTGAAATTGTTGATCATGATCATGGTCTAATTTGACCCATTGAGTCATTGCTGGGACACAAACGATAGCCAGAAAATGCATTGGGTTTACAATCTCTACATTTAAATGCCGACCAAAAAAGATATCTAGTGGATATTTTCCATTTCGTTTCTCGATCACGGGAAATACGAGTCCTTCCCTTATTGGCGACATATATTTTATTCCTAATACACACTGCCTGACGATGAAGATATGTGAGTTGTAATTAAAAGCAACTGAAAGGAAGCTGAAAGGAAGCTGAAAGGAAGCTGAAAGGAAGTCAGAAATTGATAACAGTTAACAATGTTTATTCTAAGAGATTTATATATATAAATCACAATTTGTCTGTCTATATCTCTGAGATGAGGTATTATGATTACTCGCATTATTTACATGATTCGGATTGTTATCCTCACCTTCATTACCATATTCATTGCCACTGGGCTATATGTCCTCGAGAACACATGGCCCAATGGATAAAGACGTTGATTAGTTACAATGACTACATCCAAAGTGTTGTGGACCAAAACTTGGAGAGGTGAGTTAAGGGAAAATAACTGAGACACCCGGAAGTGGCGTGGCACGGAACTAGAACAATCTACCTCGGTAGACGAAATAAAGTGTTCAGTTCCGAATTCCAATCATTTGAAGAAGGCCGAAACGTTGCGAACATGGCAATGACGATAAGGTTAACAGTCCGAATAGTGTAAATGATACAGGTATTCGTTAAATGCTTTATCCACTTGAACCATTCCGCATATCTATCTATACAAGAGCCCTATCAAACAAAAATGGAATATTGCTGTCATATTTCGTCTGGAACTTGTCAATTCCCAATTTCCCGACTTGACAAAAGCATCTATATGGTCTTGTGAGTGCTGAATTGTCGATAACAATTATACAAAATGGGTGGTTATCTTTAAATAAAATTCTCCTAATTAGCTTTTCTCTTAATGATTTTAAGCGTACTACAAGATTAATAACATACTCTTATTGTTTTAATTTTGAAATAGCTAGATATAGCTATAAGTTCTATATCCATAGTTTCTTTTCTCGCATTTCTTGCCTGTGGAACTCTATTTCGGTTTCTGTCTTTCCTGACACCTGCTATGTTCAAAAATTTAATTGCAGTCTCAATCGACATCTTCTGTTCCGAACCGAACCCTGTTCTTTTTTTGCCCTTTCTCTTCACTAAAGTTCCCTCGTTGTTTTTCACTTTCAGACGGCCCTTGTGTCTTACAGGCTCGTATCCACTCACTTGGGGGTAATATGATTTTGAAAAATCTCATTCGCTAAACATCACCAATAGTTTTTTCATGCAACTGGCTTATACCGATCGCAAGCTAAATAACCCCTGTCTACCCTAATTTCAATAGCTAATTATAAAATTTAGTAAACATTTACGTAGCTTATTTTCTTGCATCCCCCCCCCAAAAATATGTTGTCAGGAGTAAATTCAATAACACTACATTAAGATACGATTGTGACTGCCAGTCCTCTATAGTAGGTGTAATGATAAAAGTACGCAGGTGTAGGTTTTAAGGAAGTTTTATTCAATTGAGAATACAAGATTCATGTATAGTGTCCTTTTATAATCCCAGCAAACAGAAATAGCTCTTTCAAAGAGGAGAGTAAGAAAACAAGGGGAGATTAATCTTCATTATTCGTAACAGTAACGTCATTATTTTAAGTATTTTCTGGCGGATGAGACGACTTTCTTTTTTTCTGAAAATAATGGCATAATCATCGCCTTGAGATCAGATGTGATTGTGAAGTTTTTCGTAGACTACTTTTTTTTCTACAAACCTCATCACTGTGGACTTGAATTCATAAAATTATATACTCAATCGCGGTTGTTGTTGAAGTTGTTTTCGTTTTTGTTGGTCTGCTGCTTCTTCTTCTTCTACTTCTTCTTCTACTTCTTTTTCTTCTTTTTTTTTACTGAGTATAACAGCAGTGTTCAAGAGCACAATTATTTGTATTTTACATAATGATGGGTCTCCTTAGTAATTCTTAAAATATATATCAGTATTCATGTTAATCATTTCTAGTGGGTCTGTAATTAATGGATCAGAGGTTGTGCTTAAATGCCACATTCTTGCCATTTTTATTACCAGGTTCTTGCATTTGGAATGTCTCTCAAATTTCTTAGCTGAAAATTTTATCTCTGATGAAATGGTCAAATCTATGAGATAACA